ACAAGGCTGCCGATTTTCAGAACCAGACGCGGCTGCTTACGTAGGTTTGGCGCTACCACGCCTTTCACTCAGCATTATCGAGCTTTTCGGCTTCGCGGAACACCGGGAATTTTACAAAGGTTTCTCGCTCTCTCATGAAGCTTTTGCACCCATGCAGCAGAGCGAATAGCAGAAGTTGAAAATGAATGAATGGATCGTAGTCAAGTGCCAGGTGTTTTTTATACGGTAGTGGAATGAAACAAAATCACAATTTGTAGAATTATTATTTTTGGAGTTGTAGAGTTTTAATTCGAGTAATGCTTGCAGTTTTCAGCATGACGCGTAGCTTCTTGTGTAACAGACGACGAGCACACATGTGAAGCTGTGTCCGGCGGTGATTAATTATTTCGCTGATCAGGGAGGATTTGCAATTACGTTTTTTGGCTGAGTTGTCACACGAATTCTCGCTAGCTCGAGAATGTCAGTGGAATGGAGGACTCTTCCCTCACGCTGTTGTCAGTAAAGAGACTCGCACCAGCCCCCTGCTCTGGCGGTGAAGTGGGCCGCTAAGAGTTCAGACGATCGATGATGGACTGAGCGAGTGACTTTTGTTCGGCTGATTCACTGACAAATAACTTTCTTGTCAAGATACTTTCACGTCTTCGCCTGCCTCTTTTCACCCACACATCGTCTCTAAAACAGGCGGCGTATTTATCGTTCAAGCAGTCATCCCGGTGCTTGCATCTTTCGCTGCGTTGAACTGTAAATATCTTTCTGGCCACGCCTGCAATAGGTATTTTTTTTACATTTCCTCCGCGGTGTTCCATACCACATCTTCGCTTTTGTCCTCAACTTCATCGGTTTCGTGATTGTGCAAGAACTTGCCAGGACCACCACTGAAAAGTTTGCGTTATGCAGAGGTTTTCTGGCGGCGTCGAGCGTTGGTTTCAGTCAGACTTTCACTATGAATCATATCTTTAAAATCAATCCGATCTTGTTTCGCTTTAATTCTTCAGCTGCTGGTTGACTGATGTCTTCAAACAGGTGCAGTATTATTTTGCAAATTTTTTTCAGTTCACAGTTACTGGACCTGAAAGTTCGATTAAAATCTGAAACTTGATCATCATCTCTAAGGAAAGGACGATTTTACAGTCAGTTATTACGAATAGATATGCATTTATTGATATGAGTGGGCAGCTGAATTCATTTTGCTGTTCGGCATCTGTCGCCATCGTCTGTTCAAAAGTTAAACAGCATAATTCCTTATTGTGCATCATGTTTTCTGTGACTCTCATCACCTGAATGACTTTGACAGCTGTTCACTGTAGTCATTGATCCAACGTTGTCTCGACATTCTTCCTTCAGTCGATCTTGGTGCCAAACTTCGTTTTGCTGATATGTCCTTGCGGTTGCCATTTCATCTCGTAATACGACCAGTATTTTAAAAAATGCCGTTGTTTTCTCTGGTGTACTTTTTTCAGAGGCAAACATTGATATTCACGTTGCTTTAAGACCAGTCGTTTATTTCTAGGTGTGTTTTAGAGGTTGTTAACGGTTGTATTTAATGCCATATCTCCAGTGCCTCAGTCAACTGGTATTCCCCTCCCTTTCTCCTACGATGCTCAGCTTTGGCATTTGTGGCTTGCGACTCATCACAAGAGACATCAATTCCTTTACACTGTCTGTAGACACATATCTGGTCGGTCAAAGACCGTATCCGTGTAAAGAAAACGTTCTTTGTTCTTTGAATTATGTTTAATATATTTGACAAATTTGGCACTACTTTCGTGACGAATTCATTTTCGCTTTCCTTATTAGATAACTTCAGAAAGAGTTAATGACCTCATTTGTTTCTTTTTTCGACAAACTTGGTCAATCATTTCTTGACGCAGATCATGCAATAGCGGAGTTCTCTTCACAGTGATTATACTTTATATGTCTATCGCATTTAAATGTGACGATGAATTCAGTGAATTTCGTTTAAATGTTTTCTATTAACTGACTCTGTGTCACTGTTCGGTATTTCTAAGAGAGAAAATTTAAATTTAAATTGTTACGACATGGTAGTTACAGAAATTTTGATTTCACTGTCAGCCAGGAAATCAGTTTCGATAACCATTTATCATTTGGGTCTCGGAGGCAAACGCTTCAGCCAGTGTCTCCAACATTCTTGATCCTGTGCCAGCGTTTCATCTTCGGCACAAGATTTTGGGGTCTCGAGCAGAATCTTTCAATAGATTTCCCTCAGGTTCTTTATAGTCGTTCTCAGGGTCTTCGGTCGGTCGATTGGGCAAGTAGAATCTGTTTCGCCTTCCTTTTTGAAAGCATTCGCAAGGCGTGCCCAAATCAGCGTAGCGGGGTCTTCTCAGTCTGGAGCAACAGTGACTCTACACCACAGTTCTTTCAGATCATATCAAGACGCGTGAGACCAACGATTTGTCTCAGAAAGCCCATTTAGGCCGCTTGTACCTGGGATTGAAGTTTTTTCCGCCATTGGCTACGACTGATTGTCGTAGGTGATCATTGTGGGGTGATAACTTACTTAGTCACAGAATTTACTCTTTAGACTCAACCCGGTTTCAGTTACAACGGTTCAGGCTAATTCGTGCAGAGCGTCGCTGTCTTCCATTGCGCCGGTTGATCTCTTCCTCAAATTTTCCAGCACCAGTAATTAAGAACCGAGGTACTTGAACTTCTCCACTTGCTCCAGTGCTTTTCCATTTACTTGAAGGGAGCAGCGAGCGGTAGAACGAGAAAGCACTAGGCTTTTCGTTTAAGATGCGTTCACATTCATGCCGGCCAGGTAACTCTCGGCTGCGAACCTTTCTGGGGAGTACCGTAGATCAGTTTCAGAAGATGCCAATAAATCAAGGTTGTCTCGAAACAGCAACCATCTCGTCTTCGCATCTCCTTCATCGGTACCTCATTTCCCTGACTGCTCCTGACTATTCTATCCATGTACAAACGAACAGGAGAAGGGAGGAACGCAGCCAAGATAGGAGATAAATGCCAACGCTGAATGATTTCGACATAATGCCATTTTCTCTGACGTAGGACCTGCCACCAACATATAATGATTCACTGACCCGTAGCAACTAGCTGTTGATCCCATATGTTCGCAGGCATGCCCATTCATTGTTGCGCGCGATCCGGTCATAGGCTTTCTGTAAGTCAGCAAAGCAAATGTACACCGGATGGGCACGATATTTTAAAAATCTGTCGTATAGCGAATATATGATCAGATTGGCTTCGACCGTAAGCCACACTGCTCTTCTAGTATTCTTGGAGTTAGTTATTTCGCAGAGCCTCCTTTTCTAACACATTTGCATGGATTTTGCTCAGAAGGCTCATAATTCGAAGCACTCACTGTTGTCTCCGTTCTTTAACTTTCGTTCCCTTGTCCGTTGGTGTCTTACCCGTAGCCACTGCAGTTTGACAAACACTTGTAAGGCAGCACATGCCGTGTTGGCCTATTGTTTTGGACATTTCAGGGCAGATTTCGTCAGTGCCAATAGACTTCTTTTTTCTAGCTTTTCATTGCTTGTGTGATTTCTTCTGCAGATGAACTGATATCCATCCCTGCTGCATCAGCCGAGTGTTTTTGTGGTGTCCTCTCGCCGTTGCCAGTGTGAATCCTCGTCTGTTGTGAGA